CCGAATGCACGGTCGAATCAGCTGGAGCCTTTTAGGAAGGATTTTTTAGGGTTTTAAGAGGGTAATTTGAATGTAGGGACTGTTTAGGGATTTCCTTTTGATTTGTATGCATTAAATACTTTGTTTTCCTAGGGTTAGCGCATCTTGAATTCAGCGAAAATTTGAGATCTCTTAGATTTAGGGTTTTTTTGTGCTCTAGCGGCATCTAGAGATTTGGGAGAGATCGATCCTCCTCTCGAATTGAGGATCAAGTGTATCTTGCTATTTTTCATGTTCCTTTCATCAAATAATACAATTTATCTACTGTTTTTGTGATTTTGTGTGGATTTTATGGAGAAAGCTCGCTATTTTTTGAAGATTGATAGAAAGTACTTGAGATCTTCAAGTGTTTCCTATCAGCTCGGTGATACTAAGAGCAAAAAATGGAGGTTGATTGATACCAAAGATAAACTAAGGTGCAAAAAAAATATGTGATTATGAAAGAACATTATTTGTGAATTTATAAACTCCAATAAAAATGAAAAATGAAAAATTAATCTTGGCAAAGTAAGCAACTATACTACAACCTAATCCTAGGCAAGTTCATTCAAAACAAGATGGGGAAAATATGCTCTTGAATTCTTAGAAACATAGTAAAAAATGATCATTCATCTAAAATCCCCTTTGGCGTTACAATTATCCGTCATTCATAAAAGATCTCATATTCCTCTCCTTCCCCTTTTTTCAGCAATAACAAATAAATAACAAGCTAATTATTTCTCTCCTAGAAAAGCTAACACAGCAATAAAGCATTAAGAATTTCCAAACAATATGGAAAATTATTAAGACTATCTAAATAAAATGCATTTTAACATATTTGCATACAAAAGCCTGACGTCTGGGCATCAAGTTCAAGATTTTGCGCAGCAAAGATGGCACCTATGCACTCGAGCCTAAACCTGTATCATAGGCAACCAATATCCTAACAGAATTTTGAGGTAGGTAGTCCAAACTTAGTTATAAAATTATTTTTCCTTATTACATGTAATTTGTATGTTTAAGTCACATTCGTGTTCCCCAAATATCATCGCATTTTGACACCATGACAGCATTTCATCTTTTTATGCTTCATAGTGATAAATGCTTACTTAAAACATATAATATTTATTGAAAGATATGTTGGAAACTTGATAATAATGCACTGCATTTATTAGGAATATGCTAATGGAATACTTAATGATGATGAAGACATGAGATAGCATCCAACAAATCTAACATCTAACAGATTACAGTATACCACAATTGGCCCATCATTAGAAAAGCAAGTTCGATCTATTAACATTTAACAAGCACATGATTGCACAACAGTACAAGCTACAATACATTCATCTAGCAAGTTCATGGCCACAAACATAATTAAGAATTTATTAATAACAAATTTCCTGAAAATAGAGACGTGACTTATCTCTAGCCATGAAGCTTTTTCTATGATTTGTATGTCACTTGGCCACAAACTAAAAACAGTGCCAACATCAGTTTGATCGTAGATCATTAGAACAACAGCACAGGTAATTCACCAAAGGTGCATCTTCGTATTATCCACATCAAATATAATAAGTTTATCTTCATATTCAGGCATAGGTTAACTCTCCATTAAAAAATTTAAAATCATATATGATCTCATGCTCAATTTTTCTCTAAAATTCTAATTTTGACTCTTGATCAATTAGAGCTTAAGTTTAATGAACATGATCAATTGTAAATACAAATTCAAATTCAAAATACTCAGAAGTAGATTCATTTTGTAACTATAAATTATGATGCGGACATCCAACCGTACATGCCTATCTGAGGAGCTGAAGATCGACAGTCGAAATCGTCCTACGTTATCTTAAATTTTTTATTTGTACTTTTTATTCTAATTATGCATTTTCCATTTGTACCTTTACTTAAGGGTCTAATCTTATGTAAGCCCTAGGGGCTTGATTGTCTTATTTTAGTTTTTTTATTTCTTAGGCCTATATATAAAGGTCCTTGCTACTGTAATGGTATGATGGAGTTTTAATAAAAAAAATTGTTCTTCACTTTTGTTCCTGAGGAGGACTTCAGTGAGATCCCTATGGGAGGGAATCGTGGTATCCACCAACTACATGATGAGTCCGGGCTTGTAGCTTGAAGTCCCTTGGTGAAGGGCAACGTATCATCCGTCAGCCGCAGGAAGCATTCGGGCTCACAGTTTTATCTTTCTTTCCCTGAACTCCTTTTCTTCTTTTCCCTTGATCGTCGGCCATACCCCTTCCATAGCCACCGGTCAAGCTTCCCTCTTCCCCCCCCCCCTCTCTAAACCGAACACCACCACCCCTTCTTTCTCCTCCACCTGTCAGCCATAAGTCCCACCACCACCGGCCTCAAGGATCCTTTCTTCCCTACCTATGATGCACAGACACGGCAACATGGATACGACACGACATGCCGACATGACACATCAGTCATTGAAAATATAAGACACGGACACGGGTTGGACACGGTATTATAGTTTTTATATTTAAAAAATAGTGTATAAAATTTTAAAAAGTATAATTTTAAAAATAATTTGAAAATGATAAGTCATTTAACTAGAATCTGTGCTTAAAATGATTAGTATTAGGATGTCGAGAGTCAGGCGTCGATGTCGTTTATCAGTCACCGAGATAGAATATGAAAATACCTTCACTGCCAAAAAGAAATGAAAATGAGAATATTCGATGATTAGGACCATTAGGTATTAACTACAGATGTTGATTTGGTGTTGTGGATAAGAAATAAAAATTTTAGTTGAAATCTCGTCAAATACAATAAATTATATTTAAAAAATTCATAAAATATTTAAGATACATGTGTCGGACACGCGTGTCTAATTTGTATTTAATATTTAAGATACGTGTTAAATTTAGCCCTCACTTGACTGCCAGCCATAGTGCCTCTCTTTGCTTCCAAATCTTCAAATCCCAAATTAATCCCTTTACATATGTGGTGTATTTCAATTTGGACAGATTTCAAATTCAAATATCAATCTTAATTGAATTGAGTCTTTCCTAAATTAGCTATTTGTTAATTTGGAAAGTTATTCAATTTGAAGTCAAATAAATTTTAAATTTCAAAAACTTTCCTATTTAATAAGTTCTATTTTAGGAAACACCTCCAATTACTCTCAATCTAAAATTAATTTCAGATTTAATTCTCAATCCCAATTAATGCTTAATTCACATTCATTGAACCTAGACACCTCCTCCTTCCCTCTCACTTGGTCGGCCCCTCTCTCTCCCCTACTTTAATTATTTCCTTATTAAGGAATCCAATTAGGGGAATAATTAACCACTTCTTATCCTTCCCTCCATCTTATTTGAATTTCAAATTCAAATCCTTTAATTAAGGGAAATCTGAAATTGAATTTCAGATTTTTTATTTTTATTTTCCCCATCCCCACCATTCTACATCAAATTATTTCATGCACCTAAAACTTCATCTAACAAATATTGATGAACTATTATTTCTTCAATTGGATCAACCACTCATAACCATGCAGAATTCTTGCATCACGGTATATTTCATAGACAATAAATTAGCAGTTTTAAAGTTTTTTTTTTATGATTAAGATATGTGCAACAACCAAAATAAAATACTTATAATATGCCTCAATATTCGAAGATCTAGATAAGACCTCAAATATTCAGTAAAACGTAGATTAGTTCAATCTTAAAATCGCACCTATAATTATTATTGAAACAAATAGCAATACCACAATACTTAAACGACAAATCATTTCTGGCTCGAAGAAATATAAATCTTGCATACTATTTAAATATGCTACAATATCTTTGTTTACAAGTTTAAAACTAATCATGTAATTCATCCCAAACTTCAACAAATGACAAATAATTCTCTTTAAGCTTATGACTCAATGGCGAAAAAGGATTCATGTAGCCGACCCCACTTAGTGGGACAAAGGCTTGATGTTGTTGTTGTTGTAAGCTTATGACTCGTGCAAGCTCACATTGATTTTACGCCACTTGAAACACTTTGTCAAAGTAATTTAGCATATTCCCCTAAATTTTTCCAGCAATTTTAACTTTTTTAGAATCAAATATGTCTTAATGCTGAAAGAAGCATTTATAGTCATTAATCCAGACAGAAAATTTACTAAGATCATACCCCCGCCCCCATTGAATGTATGAATAGTTAACTATTGTTGGTTAAAATCATAATCTACCTGGTTTTATTTAAAATACATCATTAATTAAATATTTTTATTGACCTAATTAAATGTTAGGTAACATAATATTACAATCATATACACTGATACCAATTTGATGTTGGCTTTTGCAAGGTTAGAGTTCTTAAATGCAATTAATATGATAGCTAGTATGAATATATATAAAAGATTTGAAGTTGCAAGTTCCCACACCATAAAATAATTCAAGCGCTTGCATTCTATAAATATAAACAAGCAATCCTTGAATAAAAACCTAATTGTTAATGAAATGACCAAAGTAATCCAAAAAAATAAGTATTCAGAGCTACACAAAATCAGCTAGCAATTATAATTTAATTTTAACAAATCTAATTTCCAATGCTAAATTTTGAATAAATTAGAAGTACAAAATTAATAACCCGATTTCACAAATAAAATGAATAATCAATTTTGGGCTGAGTTGGGGCTTTTCTATTATTAAGCTGTAGGAAACTAATTGGTGGCCTAGATATGCTTCTCCTGTGAGTGGTTGTTAAAAGATAGCTCTCTGGGTGCACTTTCTTGCTATTGATTCGAGAGAAGATACACCGTATTTAATTGGATGGTGATCGCGTGGATTAGATAAATTTGTCAGCTCAACATAAATATGAGTTCATAACTGAGAAAAAGATAATAAGCATATTATAAGCTAGTCAACCTTGTACAACACAAAAGCATCTTAACTAGTTAATTCAAATTTAATGATGCTTTATATGTATAACAGTCAAAATAAACAGTTAGCATTACCAACCAAATCAGCATGATGAATAACTCCAATATGAGCTCTACAAAGGGCATCAAGTGGTTCTCTTAAAGACCCACGAGGGATCAAGTGATTATTCCCCCACGGTGACAAGCCATTTATCATAACCACCTCCACATTCCTAAAAAGACTCCAATGCTGCCTATCAAAGAAAACAAAATCAGCAAAGGAAAAAAGCAATCCAGACATCAATCAGATAAAAATTAAATACTGCAGCTTGACGTAAAAAGAATCTATTTTCTGCACAATTGCACATACAATTACCAGCTATATTACTGACATCAATTAAAAAAAATTATGGAAATAAATAATTAACTTCAAGAAAAAAAATGAAACTACGAACAGCATTGGTACACAAAGAAAAATGGATGAAATTTTAAAGCATGCTATATTCACATTACAATATTACATGACACAATATATTAAAAAAACTTGACAGGTATTTGATGTGATACAATCCATGCGAAGATGAGATGCTTAAAGGACGTTTGCACGTTTAGTTTTAGAGAACAATAATAAGCAAGATCTCATGTTGGTTTGAACGATAACATAAAATATTAAAATGATAAATAGCGTTGGTTAATTGCGTGCCTAGAAGTGAAGAGCATAAAAATCAATCAATTTAATCTACTTTTGCATACGTGAATGGTCTCAACAATAGATCCCTTTGTTAACAATAAGACTAGCTACTACAAGGAAACCTTCACTCAACTCTTCCTATTACTAGGCTTTAGCGGAGGGACCAACAATATCTTTGTGAATTAAAATATAACCACGTTGGAGAAATAAACTAAGAGGCTAAAAGAGTCGGATGTCGAGTTTACCCAAAAATAAGAGAGATGCACGTTCTGACAAGATCGTTTGAATGCTAGGGAAGATGTGGGCAGCAACCAAGAGCTTTCCCGCAACATGGAGCAGCCGGGAAGTGGTGCAGAAATTCAAGGCAGCAGCCGTTTTGCTCTTGGACAGCAGTTTTCCTGAGGCAGAAGTTCAGGGCAGCAACAATTTTCAGTCAAGGGAGTCTTGGACAACAGTTGGGGATCCTTTTAAGGGCTGGGATGCAAGTGGTTTGGCTCATAAAACTTGAACAGCAGACGTTGGGCAGCAATGGGGAAGTTCTGGCATAACCACGGTGAAGTTTCCTTAGAGTTA